GAGGATCATTCCCACCCCCTCCATACACAGAGTAGACAGGAATGGGCAACTTAGACATTGGATAACCAAAGTAGTGTTGTTGTTGTGAAGTGCCATCGAGTTGGTATCGAAAGGCAAGAATTGCCTGGCTTATAAGCTTTTAAGAGGGAACCTAGAACCAGAGGGCATGGAGGAAGGTAGAATCTCCATTGAGTAGTAGCCAATCTGTCTAGGCAGGGCTGATGAAAGGAGATGAGGATAGGTCTCTTGTGATACAATAGTGAATAATTGTTATCAGGACTCATTGTCAGGGTTGGAAATGTAAAGGAAGACATTTTTTAGCAAGGAGGGAAGTGATTAACTTTTCAGTCTAGGAGCAAGGTCCCTGGGACTATCAAGGGAGAAGAGCAGAAAGCGGGACCCTACCCTGAGAAGCAGTGACGCCAGAGATGGAGGCAGAGACAATTATGTGGAGAGATGGAGCAGATGGGGACTTTAGACCCACAGAGGGAGAGGGGCTCTGTGCTGACGACTAGGGGGCAGGCTTGTGGGGTATACGCTTTGGTTGGTTGATGATGCATGGAGGGGATTGTAACCATGGCAATGGAATGATATAGGATAGGATGAATGTAAAACTAAACAGATACTTCAACAAAGGCATTCAGGCAGCCAACAAACATATGAGGAAGTGCTTGCAATCATTAGCTATTAGAGAGATGCCAAACAAAACAACAAGGTATCATCTTACCCCGGCATTAATAACAAAGTTATTAATGAAACAATAAATGCTTGGAAGGTGTATCGAGTCTGGGACCCTCCTACACTGCTAGTGGGATTGCAAAATGGTGCAACCACTGTGGAAAACAGTGTGGCATTTATTCCAAGGGTTGAAATGGAAAGTTTGTATGGCCCACCAATCTCTCAAGTTGTACATATCCTCAAGAAATGCGGGCTGTGGTATGAATAGATATCTGCACACAAATGTTATTTGCAGTGTTATTCCCAATAATGGAAACAGCCTAGATGCCCATCAGCAGAGGAATGGCTGAACGAACTTTGGTACATAAGCACAATGGAATGTTATGCAACATTGAAAACAACGATGAATCTGCAAATCACTGTGTAACATGGAGGACATCAGTCGGCAGCAAAGTGAAATTGGTTGGTTGTTAGCAAAGGAACAGATACTGCAGTGAGAGACCATTATTGTAAACAGTCCATAATAGGTTTTCTTTCTATAATAAACATTCTATGATGGCTATCAAGGGTGGGAGGGAATGGAGAATTATTCACTGGGTAGAGTTTAGGCATATGCTAACTTGGATGATTGGGCAAGCATTAAAAATGAAAAGGAAGGAAATTGCTCTAATTTTTCTGTACTATAAGGGAGAAAATGTACGTTTATTTTCTCAGAAGGACAAACCATCGAGAACTTTCCCACAACTGAAAAAAAGGAAATGAAAGAAGTGAAATAAAAAATAAGAGAGAGAGGAAAAAAAAAAAGATTTGTAAATGGCTAACAGTGTATGGCTTTGCAACATGGTAAGTGTGACTGGCGTGGCTGGGCTGTACGTGTCAAAACTGTTGAAATGGCCGACATTCGGTTATATTTATATTGCTGCAATGAGAAAATATGCATAACAAGAGAAAAATGTAGCTTCTTACCAGACAGCCGCTAAATTAGAGTGCAAATGTAAACTGTGAGGAAACCCTACAGGCCTGGTCGTCCAGTACCGTAGAACCACATGCTCTTCCAGCCAGTTCTGGTCATCTGTCTCATCTGCAGGAAGAACATTTAATACAAAGTTTAAGTTTATAATACTCACGAACTTATTCACTGCCATCAATTGGTTCTAGAACATGTTGTTGTTAAGTAAAATTGAGTTGGTTCTGACCCATAGCAACCCTGTATAGGGTTTCCAAGGAGCAACTGGTGAGTTTGAACCACCAACCTTGCAGCTCAAGCAGATCTCCTGGTTGAGTGCTTATCCTACAGTGCCACATCAGGGCTTCTTCTAGAAAACAGGCTCATTCAAATATATAGCTTAAAATAACTTGTTAAACTAATAGCCACCCAATAATATTTATTGGTGTTTGGTGGCTCCACATAATAAGCACTGGGCTGCGATCCAAAAGGTCAGCAGTTAGAGCCCACCAGTTGCTCTGATGAAGAAAGATGAGGCTTTCTGCTTCCACAAAGATTTCAAAAGACTCCAGAAACCAGATACAGATTCACTATGAGTCGGAACTGACTCGACAACACTTAAGAACAACTACAACCACATTTACAGATCATTTACTCAAAACCATGTCTAGAGATATAAGGAGTGCGGCGCTGTAGGGTGAGCACCAGACTGCACGTCAGTTTGAAGCGCAAGGTCGGTGGTGCAACCTCACCAGCTGCTCCTTGGAAACCCTATATGAAGTTGCTATGAGTCGGAAGTGACTCGACAGCACTTAACAACATAGAGACATACATAATTAAATGTCATTGGATAGAAAGTAAATATTGTTCAACTTAAAAAAATGACTCCATGAACAGAAAGATACAAACTGGTGTTTGAATAGTACAACCACCATTGTTGTTGTGATGAAGTGCTGTTGAGTAGGTTCCAACTCATAAGAACCCTGTATGGGGTTTCCAAGGAACAGCTGGTGAGCTTAAACCGCCGACCTTGCAGTTCAAACACCTTTGCAGTCTGACACATTAACCCACAGTGCCACACCAGGACTCTATTAGAGATACTGAAATGATATTCAAAATATTCCTTGAGGACTCCAAAACTTTAAGACTGACGCTAAATTTCAAAGATTAGTGGTGGCGTACTGTGGAGTCAGTTCTGACTCAGAGCGACCATGTACAGGGTTTCCAAGGCTGAAATCTTTAAGGAAGCAGAAAGCCTCATCTTTTTCCTGTGGAAAAGCTGGTAGTTTTGAACGGCTGACCTTGAGGTTAACAGCCCAATTCGTAACCACTATGCTACCCGAGCTTCTATATCTTATACAAGTTGTTCCAGAAGATGTTGTTGTTGTTGTTGTTAGGTGCCACTGAGTCGGTACCAACTCAGCGACCCTATGCACAACAGAACGAAACACTGCCCGATCCTGGGCCAACTTCACTACTGTTGCCACGCTTGAGTCCACTGATGCTACCACTTGGCCAATCCATCTCGCTGGGGGTCTTCCTCTTTTTCTCTTACCCTCCACTTTACCAAACATAATATCCTTCTCCAGCGACTGGTCCCTCCTGACAATATGTCCAAAGTATGAATGACAAAGTTTGGCCATCTTGGCCTCTAAGGAACACTCTGGATGCACTTCTTCCAAAACGGATCTATTGGTTCTTTTGGCAGCCCATGCACTGTCAATATTCTCCTCCAGTACCATAACTCAAAAGCATCAATTCTTCTACAGTCTTCCTTATTTGCTGTCCAGCTTTCGCATGCATAGGAAAGGGGAAAGTTGCCTAACTCTTTGAGACTCATATAACCTTGACACTAACACCAGATGCAGACGAGTCCAACTCAGCCTGTCACCTACACAAAACTCACAGTCAGCAGCCCAAGGATGCTGCGGTCACACGTGCCTCCACCTCCACCTTCCCGATCAGTTCTGACACCGCCCATCCTCCCCACGCATTCTCCACTTCTTTGCAGGGTTGGTGAATCCGTTGCAATGGCCACACAGAACTCAGACTATTCTCATGATTATGGGATTTGTTAGGGACCCTAACAGTTTACAATTCACGTCTTTGGTCAGCACAGTTTCTTCTCTGCTGGTCTGGGCCCTACTCAGTTACTGTTACCAACCTCCTTAGGCAGTTAATAAATGCCCACAGGGCACTCCACTCCACCCTAGATTTCACCCTCAAGGCACTCAGCTCTAGCTCCGTACATCGGCTACTCTAGCCCCTCAGTTAAATGCCAGGCAGCACCCCACTGCACTGGCCAGGAAGACCACTGCTCTATCTGGTCCTTTCACTCTTGCTTCTGCTGCTGGTACTCCTCTGCCACTTCTCAACGGCTCCACTGAGGTCATAGCTTTCTGTCCTTGGGCCCAAAGGACACACTCCACTCCTGGTTTTCTCTTTTGATGGGAGTGAGAGCCCTATTCAGAGAGTCAGCTCATTTTCTGCCCAGCCAGATGTCAAAGGTAACCAATCACAGCTCGCCCTGTGAACAAGCACTCACAACTGAGTAGTATAATCCTATCAGCATCTTACCATCCAGCTTCCCAGCCTATCAGGAAAGCATCATTTGGTGGGTGTTACAAAGACTGTGGCTACAAGAGACCCTGTACTGGGTCGCAATGAGTCGGAACCGACTCTACGGCACATAACCACGGCCAATGTGATACCTGGACTCTTGGTGTGGCTTTGTAGGATCAGCACTGGACTGTGAACCCCAAGGTTGGCAATTCAAACCCAGAAGTTGCTCCTCGGAAACCCTATACAGGGTCACTATGAAGTTGGAACTGACTCAATAGCACTGAACAGCAACAATAACGTGATAGTTGGAACTGCGGATGCCTTGGCAGGTCCAGACCAAATGATTTCGTGGGTGTAGGCCGTACATTCCCCATCCTTGCTAAACAGGGTCTCTTTGAGTTGGAACCAACTCAACAGTACTTAACCACCACAACAACAATCCTTAGATTGCTATGTCCCTTATCAGCAAGAACCAGTTTCAGATGAGAGGAGCTCTCAGCCCTCAAACCCCTAAGAATGAATCTCTCAGGGAATTGAAGCCAGACAGGCTGAAGAATTCCCACTCCACTTAAGGGGGCCTTAAGTTAAACCATGTAAGAAACATGAAAGCACATTAAAAAAAAAAGTCCACATAAACACGCCTGTTCCATGCAATAGAGGTTCCCTGGTATTTCTCCTTGAAAAGAGGCTTCTTGACATTTCAAACTGACACCAAGAATAAAGACTGTAAAATACCCTGCCCGGCTTTCCCTATTAATCTTCTGGTATAAATACTCTTCAAGCCACGGCCTCCCAAGCCAGTTCCAGCTGGATTCGAGTATGCACCATATGGAACATCTTAAGAATCCCCAGCGTATTTCCATGCACGCAGCACGTGCACAGGGGATTGTTATGTATTCAGTGTGTACACAAAGTAAATATACGTTAAGAATCACCTTGGGAACTTGTTTAAATGTAGGTTCTGATTTTGTATATCTAGGGTTTTGTTACGTGCCATCGAGTTGGTTCTGACTCATAGCGACCCCATGTAGTGCTTTCGTGAGCAGTTGGTGGGTTTGAACTGCCGACCTTGTGGTTTGCAGACCAGTGCTGATCCTACTGCGCCACATCAGGAGTACATATCTGAGTTAGAAATGCAAATTCTCAGTAGGGCGGTCAAACTGGAACTGGCTGGAAGCAGTGAACTTAATGTAATAAAATGATAGTCTGTCTGAAGGACAGTAGGTGAAGAGACAGTGGCAGCAGCAATGGGCTCCTGTGTACACAGACAAATGCAAATTAAAGCAACAATGACACTAACCAGAGGGGTGACGTTTACCTTGGAGGTGGGTGACAGGGACAGAACTTCCAGTTCTGACAAGCTCTTCCACACATAATGGACACACAAGAGGATCACATGGAGATCATACCAGATACAGCAGAAGGGCAGTTAAGACACCTCAGAGGGTATTGAAAAGGGAACGAATGATAGAAACCAGAAAGTTTCTAATTGTAGAGTATTACGCATCAGTTAGAAGAAGAGCAGAGATGGGCGTAGAGTAATGAGGATGATTTTTGAAAACAGTGGACTGTAAATAGATCAGGCTTACTGGTCAGATAAGAGGTTGGTGGAACCGCAAAACTATGGCTCTTGATCACCCTGCATGCAGGTCCAGGGCTGAATTTTCAGCCAAGCAATAGACAGGTATAAGGGGGCAATGATACCACAGAATGGTCAACCACTTGTAATCAAAAGAGCAGCATTTACTAAGGGCAGAATTCAGCAGGGGTGGAAAAGAAGATGGAATGGAAATAAGAAACACGGGAAAAGTAAGTGAGGTTTTTACACTGAGGGGATTCTAATCCTTGAAATTAATGAAGTGTATGATTTATGGAATATAACGCTAATGGTCTACTCTGTAAACCTTCACTCAATTCACAATAAAAAGTGAAAAACAGTTGACTGAAAAAGTAACAGAACAAAACTTAAAACAAAAAATCAGTTGCTGTCAAGTTGATTTCAACTCATGGTGACCCCAGTGTGTCTGAGTAAAACTGTGCTCCATACAGTTTCTAATGGCTGTGACCTTTTAGGAGTAGGTCACTGGGCCATTTATACAGGGTGCTTCTATGTGGATTTGAACAGCCAATCTTTCTATTAGTAGCTGAAAGTTTATCGTTTGCTTTGAGCAACACTTCCATCATAAGCAAGATTAACAGTTAGGCAATTAAAAAATACATAATACACTAATCAATGCATTTTATAGGACCACAGCAGATCTGAGAAAAATGATATTATAAAACACCTCAGAACAGGTGCCTGTGAGTAGGCTGGCAGAGAAAGGGAAAGAGAAATGGGAATTTGAAAAAGATTTTACAATCTTTACTAAAAAGCTCTACACAGACTACTGATGAGAGCGTGCTCTGAACAAGATTCATTCCATCCTTTGCCCTGGAGGTCCAATTAAATAGTTTTTTAAAAAGGAAAGAAAAAAGAAAACTAGAAAATCATTCATGTGTTACATTAGCTTTAACTACTTCATATCCAACTTAGTAAGGTCCAAGTGGAGTGGGGCCTGCCCACACATGCCTGACCTAGTTTCTCCTGCGGTGAGGCTGTGAAACACTCTCACACCACAGCCTTGGTTTCCTTATTTGCAAAGTGAAAAAGTAGGATTAGCCGACTGATTCCCTAAAGTGGTCTTCAGCTCTTTCTAAATTCTACCAATTCAGTTCCTCACAAAAATCTACACAGCAGGCATTCCAATTAAATTGTATCTACCTTTTTCTTTTATTTAGTTACTAACTTGAGGAAGGAGTTCCTAGACGGTACAGCCAGCTGCTTTGGTGCTAACTAGAACGTTGGTGTGTCAAGGCCGTCCAGAGGCACCTCAGAAGCAAAGGCCTGGCGGTTGGTTGGTGTATTTCCAGAAAGGCAGCCACTGGACACCCTGTGGAACTAAGTCTACTCAGTACTCAGACACGTGAGGTCTCCATGAGTCAGAGTAAACATGATGAGGAACGGCTAGCTGCAGCAAAGACAATCATCACTGAAAGATAAATTGAGACATTCGGAACTGACAGAAAACCTTGAGAACTATGAAAGAACAAAATTACACTCAAAAACACTTTTCAACATTCATTCTAAAGTGCTGAGTCTTAGGCACTAAAGAAGAAAAGGTCACCATGAATCGAAGTATACTCAATAGCAACTAATTATGAAGGGTTTACAAAGATTTGTTTCATAAAAATGGAGAGAAAAAAAAAACCCATTCCCACAGAGTCCGTTTGATTAGGACACGGTTACCAAGGCTGTAACGCTGATAGAAGCGGACATCTTTCTCTTACACAATGGCCGGTGGGTTCACACCAATGGTTTTCTGGTTAGCAGACAAGTGCTTTACCATATCTTGAGTCAGATGAAACTTACTATAAAACTTATTATAAAAACTTGCTGTCCTTCCAGGAAATTCCTCTACTAGAAAATGGTGCCAACCTCCATGAACAGAGTACCTTTCCAGCTGACTCCGGGCCCCGGTTTTCTCTTTTGATCTGGTTCTTCTAATGGTGTCCTGTCCACCTGGATCCCAGAGTCCTCTCTGTTTAAAGGCTGTTGATCATCTTCGCCTTCACTTTCTTCAGACCAGCTCTGATTCAAACAAAACCAAAACCAAGCTCACCTTTAGAGAATATAAAAATAGGAGCTACTTAGAAAAAAAGACCACCACTCATCATAGTCTGTCATACTATGGTGGCCTGTGTTTTGCTGTGGTGCTGGAAGCTATGCATCCAGTATTTAAAATACAGTAAGTCATCCATGGTAGACCCTCTCACAGAAGCTTCCAGAATAAGACAGATTAAAGAAAAAGGAAGAAGGAATGGTGGTCTACTTCTGAGGGTTCAACTCCTGAAAACCTTATGAATAGCAGTGGAATACTGATAACAGTACCAGAAGATCAGGCCCTCCACTTGGAAGGCAATCAAAATAGGTCCGGGGAAGAGCTATCTCCTGAAAGAAGAGCCAACCTTAGTAACATGGATGGAGCAAAGCTTTCGAGACTTTCATTTGCTGATAGGGCACAACTCAAAATAAGAGCAGCTGCAAATCAGAACGTGGAACGTAACAAGGTATCAATCCAGGATGTTGTCAAAAATTAAATGGGACACTTGCTGCTGTTGTTAAGTGCTGTTGAGTTGGTTCCGATTCATAGCTGGTGAGTATGAACTGCCAATCTTGTGCTTCAAACCAACTTTACAGTCCAGTGTTTACCCTACAGCGTCACACCAAGACTACTGAGCTGAAATGGACTAATATTGCCCATTCTGAATCAGACTATTATCTACCCTACTATGCTTTTGAGTTATAGTGTTGGAGGAAAATACTGAAAGTGTCATGGGCTGCCAAAAGAACAAACAGATCTGTGTTGGAAGAAGTGCAGCCAGAGTGCTCCTTGGAGACCAGGATGGCCAAACTTCATCTCTCATACTTTGGACCAGTCGATGGAGAATGATATCATGTTTGGTAAGGTGGAGGGTCAGAGAAAAAAAGGAAGACCCCCAGCGAGATGGATTGGCCAAGTGGCAGCATCAATGAGCTCAAGCGTGGCAACAATTGTGAGGTTGGCCCAGGATTGGGCAGTGTTTCATTCTGTTGTGCATAGGGTTGTTATGAGTTGATACCGACTCGATGGCACCTAACAACAACAACTATGCCAGGAAAGAAAACTGAAGAGGAATGGTGTCACACTCATAGTCAAAATGAGCATTTCAAGATTTACCCTGAAGTACTTTGTTGTCAGTAATAGGGTAGTATTCATATGTCTATAAGGAAGACCAGCTAATATGACTACTATTCAAATGTGTGCGCCAGCCACCAAACATAAGAAAGCTGGAGGTTTCACTAATTCCTACAGTCTAAAATTGATCAAACATGAAATTAAGATGGACTGAAAATTACAGGTGATTGGAATGTGAAATCTGAAAACAAAGAAGGATCAGTAGTTAAAAATATGGCCATAGTAACAGGAACATATACGGAGCTTTGGTAGTGTAGTGGTTACGAGTCGGGCTGCTGACTTCAAGGTAAGCAGTTTGAAACTACCAGCTGTGATGTGGGAGAAAGATGAGGTTTTCTGTTTCCGTTGCTGAGTCAGAACTGACTCCACAGAACACAACCACCACCAGCAGCATTGGAAGTGAAAGAGTCCAGAGCAGAATACAACTACAAGACTGAAATTAGGGCAACTGGGAGGTTAGCCTATGATTAGGGAAACTACAATGCGAATGAAGGGAAAGGTATAGTAACAGAAATCCAGGTAGTGAAGAGGTCATTTGGATTTCAGGATAAAACAGAGTGTTTTAAAATGAAATAAACTGATTATCAATGGATTAAATGCACCAGTCAAGAGACAGAGAGTGTGGCAGAATGAATAAGAAAATAGGATCCTTCAATATGCTGTCAGCAAGACACACCTTACATGCAGGCAAAAATAGATTAAAAATCAAAGGATAGAAAAAAATATACCAAGTTAATTGCAATAAAAAATGAGTGGCTGTGGCAATGTTAATCTCTGATAAAATGAACTTTAAGGAAAAAGCCAGCTTACGAGACAAAGAAGGACATTATCTCATAATTAAAGGGTCAAATGAACAAGAGGACACTATCATAATAAATATCTATGTTCCCAATGAAAGAGCCAGAAATAAATAAAGCAATCCCTAATGGAATTGAGGAGTCCTGATGTGGCGCTGAGGATTAGTCACTGGACTGCAAGGTAGGTTTAAACCGCAAGGTTGGCAGTTCAAGCTCATCAGTCACTCCTCAACAGGGTCGCTATGACTCGGAACTCACTTGACAGCACTTAGCAACAACACCAGCCACAGTGGAATTGAAAACAGAAATAGACAACATTACAATAACAATGGGAGATTCTAATACACACCACTTTTGAAAAAGGACAGACCAACCAGGAAGAAACTCAATAAAGACACAGAAACTAAACAACACAATCAGTCAACTTGACCTTATAGATTTATAGAGCATTGAACCCCACAACAGTACAATACATATTCTTTTCCAGTGCACATGGAACATTCTCCAGAATAGACCATATGTTAGGCCACAAAGCAAGTTACCTTATATTTAAAAACATCAAAATACCACAAAGCAGCTTCTTATATCACAATGCTATAAAATTAGAAATCAATAATAGGTGGATCACGGAAATAAAGTCAAATACATGGAAACTGAATGACACCCTGCTTAAAGCTACTGGGTAGTAGCACAAATAAAAAGTGAAATGTAAAAATTCCCTGAAACAAATGAGAATGAAAACACAACATACCAAAACCTTTGGAACATAGCATGAGTAGTGCTCCGAGGACAATTTATAGCAATAAATGCACACATCCAAAAAGAAGGAAGATCCAAAATTAACACATTAATATAACATCTCCAACAATTAGAAAAGACCAGCAAAGTAAACCTACAGTCACCAGAAAAAAAGAAATAACATAGATTAGAGAAGAAATTAATGAAACAGAAAACAGAAAAACTATAAAAAGAATAAGCACCTACACCTATAAATGCAGTAGCTCAAAAGAGGAAACAAGTCCCTGCTGCAAGAACTATACCCACCCCCTCCACACAAAGGGTAGACAGGGATGGGCAACTTGGACATTGGCTATCCAAAATGGGGGAAGGGATACAAAGATAAGAAGTGACTGGCTTACAAGCTTTCAAGAGGGAAGCTAGATCCAGAGGGCGTGGTGGAAGGAAGAGTCTCCAGGGAGTGGTGTCCAGCCTGTCCAGGAAGGGCTGATGAAATGAAATATAGATAGGTCTCTTGTGATGCAATGGTGAATAAGTGTTATCAGGACTGATTGAGAGGGTTGGAAATCTAAAGATGGACATTCTGTAACAAAGAGGGGAGTGATTAATCTATCAGTCTCGGAGCAGCGGACCCTGGGACCATCAATGGAGAAGAGCGAAGAGTGGAATCCTACCCAGAGAGGCAGTGAGGCCTCGGATGGAGGCAGAGAAGACAACGTCAAGAGATGGTGGGGCTGGGGGCTCGGGATCAGGAGATGGAAAGGGGCTGAGGATTGTGGTGGGAGGGGGGTGCAGGTTTACAGGTTACACCCCTTGGTAGGGTGAAGATGCATGGACAGGATGATAACTATGCCAACGAAATGATGGATGATGGAATGAATGTAAAGCTGATGTTCTCCCATGTAGATTATCACACAATTCACAATAAAACATTAAATAATAATAATAATAATAAAATAAAAAGAATAAGCAGGACAAAAACTTGGTTCCTTGAAAGGACTGATAGAATTGACAAACCACTGGCAAATCAAACAAAAGAAAGGATACAAATAACACGCATAAGAAACCACATAGATGACGTCTCAACAGAACCAATGGAAATAAAAAGAATAACAGAATACTATGAAGAATTGTACTCCAACAAATTTGAAAATCTAGAGGAAATGGATACATCTTTAGAAAAACATGACCTACCTAAACTTACACAGAGTGAAGTAGAAAACTTTAACAAACCTGTAACAAAAGAAGAAATTGATCAGGTTATCAAAAATCTCCCTACCAAAAAAAGTCCAGGCCCAGATGGCTGCACTGGTGAATTTTATCAAACTTTCAGAGAAGAGCTGTTACCAGTTCTACTCTATTCCGGAATATAGAAAAGGAGAGAAAACTTCCTAATACATTTTATGAAGCAAGCATTATCCTCATACCAATGGCCAGGGAAGGACATCACTAAAAACCACAGAGGCAAAAATTCTTAACAAAATCCTAGCCAATATAATTCAACAACATAATAAAAAAATAATACATCATTACCAATCAGGATTTATACCAGGGATGCAAGAATGGTTCAATAATAGGAAAACATTCAATGTAATCCACCATATAAGCAAAAAACAAAACAAAACAAAACAAAACAAAACAAAACGGGAAAAGAACCACATGATCATATCGATTGATGCAGAAAGGCATTTGCCAAAATCCAACACCCATTCTTGATAAAAATATTCAACAAAGGAGGAATTAAAGGGAAATTCCTCAATGTAATTAAGAGCAAGGTTGGTGGTTCAAGCTCACTAACTGCTCCTCGGAAACCCTATACAGCGTCACTATGGGTAGGACTCGACTCTACGGCATTTAACAACGAATAAACAACCACAGACAACATCACTCTCAATGGAGAGAAACTGAAAGAATTCCCTTTGCAAACAGGAACCAGACGAGGATGCCCTTTATCACCATTCCTATTCAATATTGTGTTGGAAGTCTTAGCCAGAGCTATAAGGCAAGATAGGGAAATGAAAGGCATCCAAATTGGTAAAGAAGAAGTAAAACTGTCTATTCGCAGATGATATGATCCTATACATAGAAAATTTCTAAGACTCAGCAAAAAAATTACTGGAATTCATTGTCAGATTCAGCAAAGTGGCAGAGTCGAAGATCAACATACAAAAATCAGTTGGATTCCTTTATACTAGTAAAGAGTCTGAAAAGGACATTAGGAAAACAATACCATTTACAATAGCCACCCTAAGGATGAATATTTAAGAATAAATTGACCAAGGGAAACAAAAGACCTAAACCAAGAAAACTACAAAGCA